ATGACATTGGGGTGAGTAAATTATCAGCAAAAGTTTTTTTTTTTTAAGTGAACTACTCCTTTAACTAATATGAATTGATGTGATTTTGTTCAGGTAGAATAATATCTTTTAATGTAGACTTTAACTATTAGATCCTAGTCAGCTGAACAGGACCCACATTTGGTGGAGATTGCGGAAGGGCATGCAAACGTTGGCACATTGAAGCAACAAATTAGATGGGATTTTAAATATTGTTGCAATTATTTACACAGAACATCTGTAATTACATATAATGATTTGGGCATTGGGATCTCTGTAGCATTAACTCCTTACAACACATCCCAATTAGCACAGAATATATCTAAATAATTATTAAAGGTACAGCACAATTTAGTTATAGATTTAGAGGCTCAAAAAAATTAAGAGAAACAATGTGAAAAAGTAATATACCACAATCACAGATGTTCCTATAGAAACAGGATTAAAATTATCCGAGGACCCTGAGTTCACTTAAAAAACAACAATGGCTGTGGAAGAAAAACAGACATTTTCAATTTGGACGGGATTAAAGTCACAAAGTATGTCTGTGAATCACAAAATTAGCATCCTCGGGGTAAACAAGTCCAATTCGAATGAGGATTAAGGTTGAAATTATCTAGAAAACCGAGTTTGAATGCAGTCATTAAATGGTTCAATCTGAGTTAAATGCTGAAATTTGGGCTGATAGTTCAGCATTAGTGTTCTTTGGATAAAAAGAACATGACAATGTGCCATCTATTATGCATCGCAAGCGGTAGACCTCAAGGATTTTATGATTTTTCAGCCGTCAAGAGAAATTTGAGCTGTCAGAATAATTGTGTTTAAAACCTAAAAGCGATTTGATTCAGCAAATTGCATTTACAAAGTTCTTTCTATTGTTCTGCAACACAATACATCCACAATATAGTGTAGCGTGTTGTACGCTATAATTTAACCCATGCACTTATAACACATAAAAGACGGAAAAATATCTACATGATTTTCAATCAAATCCTATAATGCAGACCTGTATTCAATTAGACATTAGATATCCTTACAACAATGGTCTGAGTACATGCTGGACTCTGGGCTTGCAGACTTCCAGAGAAAAAGGGATGATGCGTTGAGTACAAACACAATGACTAACTAAGCTGTTCTCTATCAGGAAGGGCTCTGCATCCCACTGTGTGCGTTATTTTCGTCTCTTTCCGCTTCTCTTGCATTTTCTCTTCTGGAGACCTCATCACATCTTTTATCAATGGTGTGCAAAAGCATCAGAATGAAAAGGAAAAACACTGCCAAAGCCCTAATGAGCAGAATTTCCCTTCAGAACACCTGTCGTCGGGCTGACCAAAGACCTGAGCTCACATGCTGAGGACAAGCATTTTTTGCAAGCGTTGGGAGGATCTTATGTTAATTTTTTTTTTGTTTTGTTTTTTTGAAGAACGAGTGACGATTTTCTGAACATCTGGCTGGGTATTCACTCAAAATCAACTAGCTGCCATAAGAAATTACCTATGTAGTCACTACTGTCTTGGGGAGCTAGCAATGTTACTAACCTAAAGGGATACTCCACTTTTTTTTTTTTGGAAATTGGCTCAATTTACCACTCCCCCAGAGTTAAACAGTAGGGTTTTACCGTTTTCGAATCCATTCAGCCGATTTTCTGATTTTTAGAAGAATATCAGTAACCAGACATTTTCTGGTCTCATTGACTTCCATGGGAAAAATAATATACTATGGAAGTCAATGAGACCAGAAACTGTCTGGTTACTGATATTCTTCTAAATATCAAAAAATCGGCTGAATACATTCGAAAACGGTAAAACTCAACTGTTTAACACTGGGGGAGAGGTAAAATGAGCCTATTTCCAAAACAAAAGTGGAGTATCCCTTTAATTGCATTTTTCAGTAATGTGTATATCAAAGTTGTGTATCTTTTCCAGTAACAAACATTTCCAATAAGTGGTGATGTAGTGTGACAAAACACTGCATCACTGCTTTTTGTTACATTGTATTGAACACAGAACGTCATACTGAGCGAGCTGAGGAAATAATACAAACAATAAACAGCTGTTCGGATGGTTTATGTAAGATATTAAATTCTGCTGTATTTCATATGCTAGAATTTAGTGTATAATGTATTACTGTAAATTGAGATTTACAGTAAATAGCTAAATAAATGATAAATATTTTAAAAGGTATAGCCTCCGTTTATTTAGCTACCTTCTGTTTGTAGCTTGTAGCAAAACGTACTATTTCTAAGTGCTTGACCGAAGTTGAAATTCAATTATGAATAGCTTGAAGCATGGCAAGCTACAGATTCAAAGTTATTCCCCTGCATTGACTTTTACCATAGCAACAAACTATTTACGTGTGTGTGAGTGTGAGTGTGTGTGCAGAGCAAATGGAGGTGCTCTGATTGGGAAATGATAGCATTAAATTACAGCGACAGGAGTGATTTGATTAACGCCATCACCACACATCCCTCATTTATAGATAATCATCAATCTATCGCTCACTCATGTTAATCTTATTGTGCAATTTGTCATGCATCTGTCTCTTTGCAAACAAATGCAGATGTAACAGTCTAACTCTTGTATAGAGCCATTTTCTGACCTCAGCTCTTACACTCATGCTTGTTTGAGAGACCCAAAGGCCATTTAAATAGATTAGAAGGTTAATTTCATAAGAATTGATTATAAATAAAATTGCAACTATTTTAACGTGCTTAAAACATCCTCCTTCAAATGTTACATTAGGCTACATCAATGTCTTTTATTCTATTTTTCATGCGTTTTCACTGGTGTTTTGAAGAGATGGAATGAAGCCCAAACAAAAACAGATACTTGTCACTTTTTTGTCTTTTAAGTGAATGTATAGTGTGTGGTAAAACAGAAAGAAATAACTAGAGCAGACAATATACTTAAAAATAAATGTTGCAAATGTGAAGTAGTATTATGGGCTCCCCAAAGAACCTTTCAGTGTACAATTAAAATAACAATTTTTTTTCTTTGTCCTAATCATATTTTAATAATCAAAAGAACCTTTTTGTTCACTATAAATAACATTTTTGTACATTGGAAAGGTTCCATGGATGTTAAAGTTTCTTGAACCATAGATTGCAACAAAGAAACAACTGTGCACTGTTAGTTCATGTCCATTAACAGATATAACTTTCGATGTTAAAAATATGTTAATAATTTGATGTATTACTAGTCAATATAGTCAATAAATCAATATAAGATCAATAAATGCATTAGAGGTAAGTTTCATTTGTTTGCAGTTAACTATATTAGCTAACATGAATTAACAATGAAACTTACCTCTAATGCATTTATTGATCTTATATTCATTTATTGACTATATTGACTAGTAATACATCAAATTATTAACATATTTTAACATCAAAAGTTATATCTGTCAAAAATATTGATGTATTACTAGTCAATATAGTCAATAAATCAATATAAGATCAATAAATGCATTAGAGGTTTCATTGTTAATTCATGTTAGCTAATGTAGTTAACTGCAAACAAATGGAGCTTACAGTACCTCTAATGCATTTATTGATCTTATATTGATTTATCGACTATATTGACTAGTAATACATCAAATTATTAAAATAATTTGATGTATTACTAGTCAATATAGTCGATAAATCAATATAAGATCAATAAATGCATTAGAGGTATAAGTTTCATTGTTAATTCATGTTAGCTTATAGTTAACTGCAAACAAATTGAACTTTATTGTCATTTGTTACCTATTATTTTTACATTTCCATTATTGAGATCTAGGGGACCCTAAACATAAGCATTACAGTCAATTTCAACCGTATATGGGGGTTAAAACGCTTCTTTCTCTTTCCTTTATATCTTTTGGCTGGGCTTCCCTTAGACTAATATCTCAAAGTGATGCTATAAGAAAAAAAGGAGACGAGGTAGGGATGTGTGAAGGAGATAGCGTGTGTGTGTGTAAGTGGTTGTTAATGCAGTGGTGCTACCCCTGTCAGTGTCCCAGGCCTTCATCTTAACCTTGCTGTGATAATTGGCTATGCGGAGACAGGCACTGAAATGGGAGTGAAGAAACTGCGAGCTTGCCAACACACACCCAGAGGAGAGCAGGGATGGAAAGGACACACACACACACACTCACACATCTTCTCATTTTACTTATTTGATGCTCTAATAAGTTTTTTAAAATAAAATCTCAATCCCTCTGCCTCTTTCCCGTCCCCCTTCTGTGATTTCCCCCCCCAGAAAGGATTATATCAAAGGTCTTTCTAAAGTAAAGTTCCTTCAAACTGTAGTCACCTAGAATGCGAAACCATGCTCGTTTCAAAAATTTGTATTCCATTGTGTGCAGCGCATACGTAATATCTGGCAACCCGTCATCTAACTGTTTGCCAAACCAAAGGCTGAATGTCATGATTCTTTGGAGAGAAAGGTCAAAGCTTTATCCAGTCGAAGCCCTAAGGCTCCACCTTGATTAATAAACCAGCAGAAATGAAATATACAACATGAAAGTCAAACAGCTCATCAAATTGAATATAAAGAAATAATAAACACAATTAAATCAAATTAATCTCCGACAAACTACTGCTATTTCACCGTGCTTGACTCAAACGTTTTTGGCATTTGATTTGAATGGGAAAATAATTGTGTTTGGGGGTGTGGGTGGGGTGGTGGGACGCATTTACCGTGGAAGCTTTCAAATACTCATTAAATGCTTCAGAAAGCCTGTCCGTCAGATAAGTCAGACTCGTTCGCGGCATTGACTGAAATCCGTTTAGCTTTGTTGACAGATGTATAATTTCCACGCAATGCCTATATTGATCCACTGTTGAATCGGTTAAAGGCTTGTCGCGTTGCTTTCAAAGCCACAATGAGAGCAATTTCCCAATGTCTATGTTTCTCCTCAGCGTTCATTCCCCAGGGGCCTTTCACCCATCTACGCATCTTTCAGGTGGACAGTAGGAGAGAAACTCGTAATCAACTCACCTGCTGTGTGGCCCCGGTTGGTGGCGTCATGGTCGCTGTCTCCCTGCTCGCTATCTCCGTGCCCGCTGTCTTTAGAACTGACGATATCTGCCTCTTGAAACGCTGAACTATAAGGGAATTTTCATTGTTTAGTAGTCATTTGGTAATTGGAGCTTTACATTGCATTTTTTTTTTTTCCATTGGAAGTCTTGATTGTTTTGGTTATTTAACACTTTTGGCACAGTTTTACATTTTAGACTGCTGATTAAATTCGATATCAAATTCTGAATCAGACTTGTGCTATGTAGTTTTAAACATTAGGATGACAAATGAGACACTGAGTAAAATGTTGGGATTTTGGGGCCACATCATTTATACCGCTCTTGCTTTATATCAGTGTGTCGCCTATTTAACCATATTTTTTGGGCACAAATTGTACCCAGCAGGTTTGACAAAACCTCTTTTCGGGGACATCCTCGTTTTTGAAAAAACAAAACAAAAAAAAACAAAACAAATGAACTTGAAAGGTGTGTGCACTGTAAAAAAAAAATATTGTTGGTTTAACTTAAAAAAAAAAGTAACCTGGTTGCCTTAAAATTTTAAGCTCATTGAACTGGAAAAAGTGAGTTAATACAATGAAGAAGAATGATTTAATCATTAGAAACTCAAAATTATATGTTATTTGAACTAAATAAATATTTTAAGTTGATTTGACAAAAGAAAAAAAACGTTGTGATTACTACACTGTAAAAAAATATTGTTGGTTTAACTTAAAGTAAGTAGCCTGGGTTGTCTTAAAATTTTAAGTTGATTGAACTGGAAAAAGTGAGTTAATACAATGAAGGAGATTAATTTAATCATCAGAAACTCAAAATAATAAGTTATCGCAACTAAATAAATTATTATAAAGTTGATTTGACAAAAGAAAATATGTTGTGCCTGTGTGTGGCCTGGAAAACCCTACATTATGGGGACAAAATAAAGATGGCAATATCCAAAATCCTTGTACTTGTGGAAACATTTTGGTCCCCAGTAATAATTTTTGAGATGTAAAAATGCAAAAAGTTAGTGTAAGGGGATAAAAATATACAGTACACTAAGTGTAACAATTATCATGTCTATGGAAAGTCCCACTGTGAATGTGGGCAGTCATCTCACCTGTTAACGCGACGGGGTCTATCCACCAAGTAGCTAAGCTCAGTTCTCTGGTGCTTGGTCTAAAAGACATAAACAATAACAGTAATTGAGTATGAGATTGGACATTTATCATTAAAACACTGGTCAGGCTTCTGTTCTGCTCTGTCCATGCACTAGAGCACCTCAACCATAGAACCGCCTTTGTTCCACTGATACCCAGCGACTGTGTGCTGTGCATACTTAAACCCTTGTCCAATACACTCCCCCCTCCCTACTCAGTCTTGACTCCAGAGGGCTACACCCTTTCAGAGAATGCCAGGGGATAGTAAAGTATACATTGTTGGATGGCGGGAACTCACTTAAGATAAAATGGCTTGTCTCAGAGGTAAAAAGCAAAGACGTTAGAATAAATTTGTAACCACCCTCGATATTCACTTTCCCCATATATTCCTAGTATAAGTATTGATCAATCGATATAGTATTTTCATTGATCTTTCTGAAATGTTTCCATTAAGGATTCCCTCACGTCTTGAATATGTGGTTACATCCTGTGCTGTAGTTAATTTGTGCTGTAGTGTAATTAAAGGATCTGAAAAAAGCACTACAGCTTTGAGCTACCTTTAAAAGCACTATGTGAGTCCTAAGCAAGCAGGAGATTACAATCTGACATTAGGGAGCTGGAAGATCACCACTGAACAGACTTTTAAGGTGCATATATGTGTAGAGAGATACATTTGGTGCACTGTTTCCATCCACTGAACTTGTCACTATACATTTTTAGCCAATTTTATGATTTTTCTGAGTCTTCATTTTCTGCATCAGTAATTAAAGTCGAAGTGGTTGAAAAAGTGCAATGAACCTATCAGCGAATATTGTTACTTTGGCACCACTTTGATTTGACTTTTTTTATATATTTTTTTTAGAATGTGGATTTTTATAGTTTGTCTCATTATAGCAAAAAATTGCAACATTTGTGTGTGTGTGTGTGTGTATATATATATATATATATATATATATATATATATATATATATATATATATATATATATATATATGAAGAGTTCAGATGCAAAAGCCTCTAAGTGCCATTTGAAATTTTCTTCTAGAATGATCATTTTTATCAAGCTTGTATATTTAAGTTCAGTGATTTCACTTAAATGGCAATGATAATTACCTATTAATTGTCATTTAAGTGAAATTACTGAATTTAAATATACAAGTTTGACAAAAATCATCATTAAAGAAGAAAATTTCAAATGGCATTTAGAGGCTTTTGCATCTGAACTCTTCATATGCTTAACACAGCAGTTCATTTGAATTTTTGTAAATGTATGAAAATATATTAAGTAATAAAATCAAAGATAGTTTAACATATTAATGACGTATGTTAATATGGTAATGAGATGCATTAGATGTGAGCTTTTCACACTGAATTCACATAGTTCAACGGTGTAATTCACAAGTGTTGCCCTTATAGGTAATAAAATATGTTTTCACCTCGCTTGATAAAATGCTCCCGTTAGAGATGATATCTGGTTGCTGATCCGCGTATCCGGCAACGATTGCCCCGCACGGGTTGTGCTCTGTGTCTGTGCTCCGGGATGGACTGCACGGTTTGAGAAACATCAGGTCGGTTTTGGCAGACTCCGGCGTCAGGCACACCTGGTAGCAGTAGTTCTGATTCTGGTGGTGCGAGCCGAAGCTGCCCGACTCTTCCACTGGCACCTGCGCGGTACTGGCCACATTAGTGCTCTGAACGAGCATGATGTCCGATTTACTGAGCTTCTTCTTGCGCCCGCGCGCTTGGCGACTGCAGCACTGACAGCACGAGTCTCCGGCCATGCACGTGTAGATGTTCAGTTTCTTGTCCTTCTGACAGCGCACCGCCAGCATGATCATGGCAAGGAGGAAGATGAAGGACACGGAGCCGAGAGCGATGATGAGGATGAGTGTGAGGTCCAGCGAGCCCTCTTTGGACTTCACTGACCCTCGGTCGCCGCTCCGGCCCTCCACAACGCTGTCCACAAGCACAACGTTGATGCTCGCGGAGGACGAGAGGGGCGGCTGGCCGTGGTCGCGCACCTCGATCAACAGGTCGTACGGGTGCGGCGGGTCCCGTTTGATGGAGACCCGGCGCGCGGTACGTAGCTCGCCGGTTCTCCAGTCCATCCGAAACATCCCGAGCTCGTTTCCCCGGAGGATGCTGTACGACAGGCGCGCGTTCTCGCCATCATCAGCATCCGTGGCAACGATACGGGTCACCAGGTATCCCGGCTCGGCTGAGCGGGGCAAATGTTCCCTCGCGGTGCCGTTTTTGCCCAAAGGTGCAATTACAGACGGGGTATTGTCATTCTGGTCCACTATGATGACATTAACAGTGGCGTTGGCAGTTAACTCTGGCGCACCGGAGTCTTTGGCGTGCACCATGAAACTAAACTCTTTAATTTGCTCGTAATCAAAAGAGCGCAGAGCGTACAAGTAGCCGTTCTCGGAGTTGATTGACACGTAGGTTAAGATGGACATGCCCTGTATTTCGCACTCCAATATGGAGTAAGTGACATAGGCGTTCTGTCCAACATCTGGATCCACGGCGCTCACCGCGTAAATGTAAGCGCCCGGGACATTATTCTCCGTCACGTAGACGTCGTAAACCGTCTGCATGAACCTAGGCGCGTTGTCGTTTTCGTCAGAAACGTGCACTTTGATGGACTTGCTCGTGGAGAGAGAGGGCACCCCCTTGTCTTTGGCGACCACCGTGAGCGTGTACGACTCCGCTTTCTCGCGGTCCAGCGGGCCGTCCGTAACGATCGTGTAATAGTTTTTGAAAGACGACTTGAGTTTGAACGGAACCTCGCCGTGCAGCTCGCAGGTCATCTGTCCGTTCTCGCCGGAGTCCCGGTCAGTGACGCTTAGCAGAGCGATCACCGTGCCCGGGGCAGCCTGCTCGCTCACCGACTCCGTTACCGTGCTGAAACTAATCTCTGGCGTGTTGTCGTTCACGTCGATGAGTTTGACCAGAACTTTGCAGTGCGCAGGCACGGCGTTCGCCCCCATGTCTTTCGCCTGCACGTAGATCTGATGCGTGCTGCTCTCCTCGTAATCCACCTCGCCGGTCACTTCAATCCTCCCAGTGCGCGAGTCGATGTTAAACAGATCCCGAATACGCGGCGGATTGTGACTACTTAGAGAGTAAACGATCTCTCCGTTCGGGCCCTCGTCCATATCGGTGGCATTCAGCTGAATAACGAGCGTGCCAACTGGAGAGTTCTCGCGCAAGCTCACAGAGTAAACGGATTGATCGAACGTGGGCGCGTTGTCGTTTGAGTCCAGTACTTTAACCACTAGCAGTGCGGTGCCGGTCTTTGGCGGCTGCCCTCCGTCCACGGCGGTGAGCACGTACCTGTGCACCGCCTGCTGCTCTCGGTCCAAGGGTTTATCCAGCACGAGCTCCGCGAACCGGTTGCCGTCGCCCTGCGTCTGTACGTCCAAGTAAAAGTAGTTGTTGGTGGTGATGGCGTATGTGTTCAAGGCATTAGTCCCCACGTCAGGGTCGAAGGCGTTCTCCACCGGGAAGCGGGTGCCCGGTGTGGCGCTCTCGGTGATCTCCACGGTGATGTCCGTCTCTGGGAAACTCGGCGGATTGTCGTTAATATCCATGACCTCGATCTCGACGCGGAACAGCTCGAGTGGGTTCTCCAAAAACACTTCGAGGTGTAGGTGGCACGGGACGGTCTGGCGACATATCTCCTCTCGGTCGATGCGCTCGTTCACCACCAGCGCGCCGTTCTCTAAGTTGACCTCCAGGTACGGCGTGCGCGAGCTAGGCACGGTCTGGAAACGGCGCGCGGAAAGTTTGGTGATGTCCAGCCCCAGATCTTCGGCGATATTTCCCACAACCGTCCCGCGCTCCTGCTCCTCCGGTACCGAGAAGTGCAGCTGCGATAACCCTCCATCCAAGATCGAGAAAAAGAGAAATATCAAAATCATCTCCAAACAACAAGTGCACTCCTTTTTATCCCCTCGCTCTGTCTTGACTCCTTTTCTTCTGCTGTCACAGCTTAGGAATTACCCATCGCTTTGCTCTAAGAAAACATTTGCACTGTGCAATTTCCCAAATGAACATGAAAGCTCCTGTGTTGTACGGTGTCAGCCATATGCGCAAGATCTATAGCCATTTGATATAATGCTGTCTCAAGGAGAGCAGAATTTAGTAGTCCGTGCGTCACAGAAAGACATTGCAGAACCTACAGCTTGCCCGATCCTTAATACTGAGAAGCAAAACCTTACCAAAACTATTTTGCTTAATAAGTGGATAGATCAATTTTTTTTTTAAAAAAATAATAATAATAATAAATCCTGAACGCGACCTATTGCAGACAAATAACACTTTTCTACATAGGCTATAGTTATCTAATGGTTCATAATAACTGCGGGATGCTTAGAAATCCGTAGGTCCCCTCTTCTCGAGTTCTGCAAGGAGAGTGAGGATCAGTGCGTTGTTTTGCGCAGAGCTCTTGCCACAAACAGCCAATGGACGCTCCGGACTGCCAGCGCTGCGTCACCTGATTCGACCGTGGGAATGTCAATCACGCGCGCCCTCCCTCCTCAGTGCGCCCTTACATCCCCACTCCAGCTCACTTTAGAAGACATGTGAATCAATTCTTATTCTCCGTTTTAAGTCAAACATGCGCATTCAAGGTAAATATTAGCATGGGAAAACACGATTCACGGTGTTCTGAAATCCTTTTTAGCCTATCTGTCAGTTTCTGGTCTTGACCAATTCATTCATTTGCCTATTTAGTGTTTTAATATAAGTAGAATGTACGCGTTTGACTGTATTTGACAAAATGATGAATGTCATACTTATTTAAGAATCAGTTCTTAATGACGACACCGGAGTGTTTTGAATCTGAAGCACGGAAAGTGTACTCTTTAGTATGCAGTTCACGAGCGCGCATGCTGAGAGCGCGTGTATGTGGAGGAATCTCTGGAAGAAAAAAAAAACCATGGTGGTAATTTCAATGGGGGAAAATGACTTAAAAAAAACTTTTGAGTAAAAGCTTGTTTACTGGAAGTCACCTTACAGTATAAGGTTAAATAGGATAGGCTACGTCTTATTATAGTAAAATACATGTTTTACACGTTGTATGCGCGGGGAACAGCCTACAATATTGTTGAAAGTATGCTTTAAGTAAAAAGCATGAATCTTCTTATAAGTGATGGACATTTTTATTAGTAGCCTACATTTAGTGTCGAATGCTAATAGGTTGTATTTTTGCATTATTTAAGCGTCACGTGTTACCCTGAAGGCGTTATTGTGAGTAACTATGTGCTGTCTTTGTTTTCATTGGTTTCAGGCTGACTTTGAGTGATGTGGCCTTCCATTAAACCACCAAACTGATCATCAGTAGCACATTTTACAGCAACAAACAAACAGCTCAAATTGGTGGGGTGTGCAGCATACTTTCAACAATATTGTGGGTGTGCAACACAATTTCATGACACCCACTTGTAAAATGCCACCGCTGTTTTCAGCAAATACCCAAAGGCAGAGTTTTTTTTTTTTTTTTACAAAAATGTAACATTTTACAGTGTGGCTTCTTGTGGCAGACCGTTTTTTGCAACTAATGAGATTGCCATCCGATTGTTTACCTGCAAGCCTCATATCAGTAACAAGATTTATCTCTCCGACTTTCCTTCCGTTTTATCTCATTCTCTAGACTGCTGTAGCCTATGCCTGCAACAGGATACACTGATTGTTTGATATCAAAGTCAAGAAACAAACTCTCATTTTAGAATGCTCTCCTCTCTTTTCCTCAGGTATTAACACAGTAATGTGTGGGTGCTGTGTTAAGCTCTTGTCACACGGCTACAACGTTCTCTTCGTGTCGCAATGATTTGAAAGCTCTCGCGCTGTTCGTCTCTTCCGCGTGCACTATCCGCTCTCTAGCGGAAGCACAGTGAACTACTTCTCCGTCATGGAGCCTATAAATGTGAGGGGGGATATTTCGGACAAGACATGTAGCGTTTTATGATGTATTTGAATCGTCACATCAAGGGCGAATTTAATAAATAATGTATGTTATAGTGTTGTATTGATTTGAGCCACGGTTTTGTTGACAACTGACTGTGTTTGAATTGCTCTCAGTGGTGATTTTAACAAGAAGCTCTCAACAGCAGACATTGAAACATTTAGAAACAGCATCTATATTTCTGAAACGAGTAACATGAGACGAGAGTTTGCTTTTTGCCCAACGAATCTCCCCACATTAGAAAACTCCTCACAGGCGTCACTCAGGTTCCAAGACATCAGATGAATTTCAGCAAACAACAGCGCCTCCAAGCGGTCTGTTAAATCTTCTGATCATCCGTCACGCTGCTGAAGATGATTATCTGGGCTATAAGGAGATGTGTATAATTAAGAAGCTTTAATGCGAAAGTAATTTTGAAGAGCTATAAAATAAGCACACTGTAAACTCTGCCAGTGTAGAGATGAAAGTGCAGCTTTAAGAGAGGCACGGATGATAATGAGATAAGTAACTCAACTGGGTTTTAGATTTGTACAAAACAGGCTATATAGTAGTCAGATTGCTATTAAGACAAAATAAACAAAATGTTGACTGTGCCTACTTATATAGCCTATATTGCACTACCACATAAATGGATATTAAATGTTGATCTGAGTTATTTAAATTAACATTTAGAGACCACAGTGAGAAAACACATTAAACAAAACATAGCTTTCCCGCATGAGCTGTCACTACATCGCTGCCCTGGACAACAGTTATCTTTTGCAAATATTTGCCTGACTGACAAATCGGAAACAAGTATTCAGAGGGAACAATACATTTAAAGGGACAGTACATCCAATAAAGAAAACTCTAGTCAAATGTCAGTCCTGGATGTCTGACTTTCCATGTAAACTTGTTTTTGTCCACATAGTCAAAGTTGGTGGTGTCAAGATAAATTGGAAATATATTTTGTTATGCTCCATCTAGAAAGAAACAAACAAAAAAAAAAACAGGTTTAGATGTGACTAATACATGTGAAGTAGTGGTGACCAAATCTTCATTTGTGGGTCAATGTCTTTAAATGGGACCAATTATGCCCATTTTTACAAGATGTAAAAGCCTCAGGTATCCCCCAAAATTTGAGTGGAAGGAAAAACATGCTGCTTTGCTGCATGCACCTTTATATGCAAATGAGCTCCCCACCCTGCTTTCCAGAAGAGGGCGGAGCTTTTGCAACTCATCCCTCAGATAATCTGCCAAAAACTAAAAAAAAAAACATCTGTTTGGTTTTCATTAGCATCTCTATCGCGTTCACGCTCACTACAATGCTCTTCATCATCATGTAAGTTTATTATCTGCATGCTTTTTAAAACCATATCATTCTCAACATCTTTTCTGAGTGCACACATCCGAAGCACGCGCACAGAAAGATGGATGTCAAATGGCACGTCCCATGAGTATTAAACTAAGTTCTCTTTCGTTGTGCTTAAACTGTTAAATACGCAAGGTTATGTCAAAAGCATACAAAGTTCACATGAACACAGTCGGTTATGTCTGTGAACGTAAACAACAAGTAAATAAATCGAATGTGTATATTAGATCTGTGTATTAAGTGAAAGTATACAGTACCTACTGCCATGTATGAATCAAACAGCAAAAGAAAAACAGAAAAACACTCACTGCTTTTGACTGAATAACTTAGTACAGTAGCTTTAATAAGAATACGTCTTACTTGAATGATGCTGTTAAATGCTCTGGCCAGGAGATAAACACACTAATAGGGCAGAGTCAGTAGTTGTGGGTGGGGCCTAAGAATATGTGATGTCACTAAAGCTTATGATTTATGGAAATTAAAAAAAAAAAAAAAGGATTAGCCGGTGGATTTTTACTATTATACGGTGGTTGTACACACTTCCAAAATGTATGTTTAAACACCATTTAAAAGTGAAATTTGCATTATAGGTCCCCTTTAAGATCTTAAAATGATCTTAAAATTTGGTTTCCAACATGTTTGTGTCTCTCTCACTCTGTCTTTCTCTCAGATGGACTGATTTGTGTTGCATTCATCAATCAGCACGTCACAGCTGGGGGGTGATGGGTGTCGTACTACTCTTTCTCTTCCTCCTTGACCTTACAAACTAAACCCATCTATTACCTAAAATCAGTGCACACACATGTTTGTATTGGAGAGGAGGACAGAGGTAATGATATTGTGCCATTTTGAGAAATGAAATGACGGTTGCCAGGATATGACATGATGAGCATCTGCCGATTCTGCCGGCAGCCAACCAATAATTGTCCGTCTCACTTTTTCTTTCTCAGCAACATTATTCTGCGAACGACGTCTGGAATGAGATGGGCCTTGGCGTGTTTGATTTTGTGCAGTGACTATCAAACTCTTTAAAAGATTTAAAAGTCACTCATCCCTCCCAAATCCCACCTCACACAACTCAACGTGGAGTAACGGTGTTGTTCAAATATGATGTGAGAACAATGAGATTGAAGTCAAAGTTTACTGACACTAAGCCGGACCAATTCTCTGTTAAATGGGCTATTACACACACAACAGACAGCGAGTGTTTGACTGGGTAAGACTTCATTACAGATTTCATTCTCGCTCAAGGTGTGGGATCTGTATAGCTGTCATTGATTGCATGAATGTGCGGGTTAATTGGCTTTTGGAGTGGGTTCTCTGTGATTTCGCCCGGCATAAGTGAGCTGTTAATGAATAGCGATGCGTGCTGGCGTAGGCATGTGAGTTAAGGTGAGATGCTCAATATGACTGTTGCTCCATTGTGATTCATACACAGTGACCCTGAACACCCAACAATTAGCTCAATTAGTTTGGATCAATAATGAATGTAACCAATTATTAACATTTAGCTCAAGGTCATCTGCCAGCTCACGAACATGCCATGTTACATTTAGATAAAGATGGTAAGTTTTTATGCCAGGTGATATGGCACTTTCCCCTTGAAGTGGTCTTCGTTATTTGAAAGGCTGTACATTTGTTTCTTGCTGTAACCGGTTCATTCCTGCAGTTTGGTGGATTTGGGATTGAGCATGTTTATGAAAAAAAAAATCTAATATTTTATCATCAATATCTGGCTAGAAACACTGGTTAATCTCAGACTAATAATAACCTAAATTTGTTACATGACATTTTTACAATGCAATGTGTAACAGGGTGGACATTTTAAGCTAATGAAACCCATAGGGAAGAACAACATGATTGACATTTAGGATGGTCTATGTAATAAATTAAGAAAACAAACATTTATTTCAGCCTGGTCTCATCCCAAGGCGTCATATAGGTGACGCTTTTGAAATTGTGTCTACATCCGATGCACATGGCACCCTTTAGCGTCAATATGAAACGCAGTCGCAGATATACATATGGGCCACTAGGCGCCTCCTAGTGGTCTAACCCTAACACTACCCCAGACCTAAACCT